TATATGAAAGTTAATCGATAAAAGAAATCACATCTCATTGTATAGGCCACTATTCAAAAGAAACCTGAAATACATTTTAAAGAGGAAAAACCGGTTTGTACTGGTACAAATGTGTAAATCCTTTAGGATTTCTGGCTCCTGGTATCAGCGCTCCAACTTGCATCGCTGGATATGGTATAGCGATATGGAGACTCGCCATGAGGGACCCTCACACACACACGTGTAAATGTCGATATATATATGTTTACATATGTATAAGTATATATATATATTATATATATATATATATATATATATATATATATATATATATATATATATATATATATGTATATATATATATATATATATATATATATATATATATATATATATATATATATGTATATATACACATGTATTTTTTTAACAGCCATTCATTCCACTGCAGGACATAGGCCTCTGTCAATCTACTAATGAGAGGTTATATGGCAGTGCCACCCTTGCCTGATTGGATGCCCTTCCTAATCAACCGCGGTTGTGCAACGGCGGTGACTTCCCCTACGACATCTGCGTTTGACTTCTCAGGGCGATATTTCGTTTTCCTCGGGCTCGAGAAACCGACTACCGCGGCGGGAGATTGAACTCGGGACCACAATACATATGTATATGTGTATGAATATATCTATGTATATATATCTACACATCTATATATATATACATACATATATATATGTATGTCTGCATATATATCTTTATATATATACATACATATATAATGCATAAATATATATATATACACATTATATAATATATATATACACATATATATATATACATACGTATATATCTACATATGGATACACATATATGTATAATATATATGTGAGTATATATATGCATTTATATACCTAGATACACACATAAATATATATATATAGATATATATATATATATATATATATATATATATATATATATATATATATATATATAAATATATATATATATATATGATATATATATATACTATATAGATATATATATATATATATATATATATATAATGTAAGTATATATAAATATGTACGAGTATGTATATGTAGATATATACATATGTATATATATATATATATATATATATATATATATATATATATATATATATATATATATATATATATATATATATATGTATATATGTATATATATATATATATATATATATATATATATATAGATATATATATATATATATATATATATATATATATGTATAGATGTATAAATATATATACACACATATATGTACATTATATATATACATATAATATACATACATACATATATATATATATATATAATATATATATATATATATATATATATATATATATATATATATATATATATATGTAATTTTAAAGCAAATACTGGTAAAGGTAATTATACTGATCATAGTTAATGAGTCAGTATTAGATAACATACTCATAACATAAATAGATTAACCCATTTGCGCCGGGTAAAAATGAACAAAAAATGGGGGAAATGCTGTGCTCAATTTTTATAGTTTTTAATGAAATTTCTCTACACTAGATGGCTCTGCTTTACCTGATTTCATTTGGCGGGAAAATGTATTTTTACTAGTGCTATGAATATCGATGGTTATTTTTATTATAAACATTATAATTACTATAATGTTATAAACATTAGTAACAACAAAATAAGATAACGCAAAATGATTTTGTAAATTAAAGAAAAGGGTAAACAGACGAGACAGGCAGTACAAGTGCACGTGGAGCCATCTGTGTTTGTAAACAATCAAACAAGTAAACTCACAGTGGGCCCGTCACGTATACGTGACGCCCGGCGCGTATGGGTTAAATATGAGTCATGTGTTGCATGTCTGGCTCTTACCTTGTTCTTCCAGTAATGCTAGTTTAGAATCATCATCCAGGGATGAAATACTAAATATTAACCTCAAGTATGTTCTAAAGCTGAATTCATGTGGCTCTAAATCTTAAGGTTCATGATCATAAATCATCCCATTATGGTCAGACCTTAACGATATAAAAGTATACCAATTCTTTGCAGATCATAGATAGTGCAACTATCAAGGATGATCTGCTGCTTCAACAGTTATCAGTACAAACTATTAATACTAAGCTTTCTCTGTATTAGCCTTCTTGCAAATGTATTTTGTGTGTATATATATATATATATATATAAATATATATATATATATATATTTTTTTTAATTCCCTAATAGTTTTCTGACATCAATGAAATAGGTGTAAAAAAAAGTTTTTTTTTCTGTATTTTATTTTATTTTGTAATACATTTCCTTAAATGTAGCATTATATATATGTAATAATGGCAAAGAAAAAGAAAATCTTTGTTTTAGTACCTTTTATACTATACTGAAAGAAAAACCAAGGACGTTAGACTACACCCTAACCACAAGTTACTACATATCAGACTTAGGTAATACGTCCAGAGGAGTTAGTGCTAATCAATACACTAACAGTTTCCATTCACTGGTGTTTAATTTTGTCTCTTCTTTTTTTTCTTGGTTTTTCAACATGATCATAACAGAACGGTCAAAAATATAGTGGATATAATCATATTTACAAGAAAATGAAAAAAGATTCTCTTGACTGAATATTAACCAAAATACTGGAAGATATTTCATTTACATTGCCCTTGGCTAAAAAAAGAAGAAAAAAAAAAAAAAAAAACATAAAATAAAGGCATATCACAATTATATAGATCAAAATCAAGTACTACAGAAGATTATGAAAGTTTTGTTACTTGCGGCAAATTTACATTAAACTCGTACATGTGCCACTTAACCTTGACTAATCATAAACTTCTACAATAACTTGTGAAAACAAAAAGAAGCAGTGATTAAACTAATGACTATGATGCACTGGTTTCCCAGCCCATCGGATACAGGATCTTCATGAATTACATTGCCCATTATATAAAGACAAATTCTGAAACAAAACCTGCCAAAAATTCAAACCTTTGGCATACATCAAGGGAAGAAAAGCACAAACTCCCTTGTAAGGCATGATCCAGGTGCAATTTGAAGGAATATGCAGAACGACTTGGTGGAAGTTCTTATCTGTTGTGCAACATCCCATCAAACAGTACACAAGATGCCTCTGGGTAAAGCAGTGCAATAAATGCATTTTTTCACTTCACACAGAAAAAATTAGAAACCGCCTTAGTAATGTTACTAGTAATTCTGAACCCTGCATGACAGTGCATCCTTTACAATTTCATATTCTCTGGCCACTTGTTTTGCCTACATGGCTCAAAACCACTAATATCATGACATCATCTCTGCTTCTAGGGGGGGGGGGTTTTGTATCAAAAACAAAAATAAAACGGAAAAATAAATGGGTACAACAGCCATGCCAGTCATTCATGGTCGTCCAGGTTAAGTTCGTTCTAGTAAATCCAGGCAAAAACACGTCTCAGTCACACTCCAACCCATAGACACTCTCCATCACTATAGGCTCTATACATGAAAAAGTTCATCCTCACTGATGTTCCTGCAATTGCCAAATCATCATTAACTGCTGCAATTGTATCAAACTGGTTTAATTATTAGTGAAGTTACTCAATGTATGACCTTATTACCGAAAATAACTGTATTTTTTAATATAGCTACTTATGCCCGGTCACCTTTCGCATCCTGCTTGGTGACTGGTTTATTCCAACCCCTATAAAGGAAAGTTTGAACACATCTGTGCTACAGAATATACCCATATTTTGGAGCCCGCACCTTTGTGCCACATTTTTTACCTCTTTCTAACCATGTGTTCGATAATTTTTTTGATGATTTCTAGTTACAACCTACATGACTAATATAATCTTTAATGACTGAAATGAATCATTAATTGAATATGCTGTTCAAGTG